AACCATGTTCAAAGCTGCTTTCAACATACTGTACAGGTCATCAAAGGCTGGGATCAAGGTATTTTGGGTGGTGATGGAGTTCCTCCCATGCTTGCTGGTATGATTTTGGTTTACCTGGTATCATGGTATTTTCCCATGCCTTAAACAGTTTAGATGGACTATGTTCATTCTTTCCTCTCACATAATTTTAGGTGGAAAACGCATACTGAAGCTTCCTCCAGAACTTGGATATGGCATGAGAGGTGCTGGGTGCAGAGGAGGTGAACCAAACAAACTTTCAACCAAAATGTTCATTTTAAACCTCTGTTTGCTGAACTTAAGATTAGAGTCATTAAATTCCTCTCATTCTTTTTCAAGGGTATCTGGAGTTGTTATTTGTTACTTTGGATGTTGCAGGTTCATGTATTATTCCTCCGGATTCAGTTCTCCTGTTTGACGTAGAGTTCATAGGCAAGGCATTTTTACTGATGAATGACAAAACAACGGAGAATTTCTGCTATCCTTTTGTCGTGAATTGTCATTGATTGAATTCTCATGAATTGAACAAACTCAACATTTAGACTACATTAACAAAAGTACTAACAAAGCAAACTTACAAATGCATGAAATTACTGGGGAAAACAGAGGCAAAGCTGTAAAGGGCACTAAATTCGAAGGTACCTTGTTTACTAAACTAAACAAGTAGCCTAAAAATACTACTGCGATCTAATACCTTGTATTATTTGGCTCCTCATGCCTCCTTTTGTAGCGAGCCACCTTCAGTTCAATCCAGAGTAGTATCTTCTCATTCATTTGGTTGACATATCCAAAGAACGCATGCCTCCATGACTTCATTAATGCTAAACTGCCACAAACACCCCAAAAACCAACAAGAAATCCAGTGATAATGCTGATGGCTAACCATATTTTGTCATAGTCTTTGTTACCATTGTCATCATGGTTCTTCTTGTGTGAACGTACACCCTCAGCAGAAGTTGATCCAGTGGAAGTAGAATCTCTGGGACACTTGGGGAGAGGAAAGCCACAAAGCAGGGGATTGCCTTCATAGATGGATGGATCATTCAGTGTCTCAAGCTGATTTCCAGAGGGAATTTTTCCTGTCAAGTTATTGTAAGACAAGTTCAAATAACTCAAGGAAGTCAAAGAAGATAAACTTGCAGGGATTCGACCAGAAAGTTGATTTTGAGACAAGTCAAGTGACTCTAGCCATCGCATATTGCCAATCGTGTCGGGGATGCTTCCACTAAGATGATTCATGGACAAATTCAGGATGCCCAATGCAGCTATTGTAGTTATCTCTTCAGGAATTCTCCCTATAAGATTATTCCTGGAAAGATCAATGCTGTTAACATATTCAAGAGTCCTGCCCCTATAGTCGAGTTTTGTGCCTTTGCTCATTATGGTGGCCTGCTGCTTGAACTTGCTGAAGGGATTGATGGACAATGGACAAGTATTCCCAATGACCAACATTGTCAAGTTATTAACACAGTTGGGAATAACCCCAGAAAAATTGTTGTTTGAAAGATCTAAAATGTGAACACATTTCATAATGCACACTTCTGGGGGAATTTTCCCAGTTATAGAGTTGGAACCCACGTGTAGGATTTTTAGGTTTGGTCCAATTTTTGGAGGTAGTTTTCCAGAAAATCTATTTTCCCCAAGATCAAGGCTCCGCAAACCAGAACAATTTTGCAAGCAAGAAGGAATTTTCCCGTGGAAATAGTTCTTGCTCAAGAGCAAGAACTGGAGGCCTCTTAAGAAGCATATAGACCTTGGGATTCTACCTGATATGCTGTTGTTAGCTACATCAAGAGCTTTAAAGGTTTGACTTTGACCCCAACAATCAGGAAGTTCTCCAAAAAGCCTGTTGCTCCCCAGTGAAAGAATTTCTAGATGCTTCATTTTGCAGAGAGATGATGGGATGCTACCTTGAAGAAGGTTCCCTGAAATAACTAACTCAATCAATCCAGGCATAAGCTCACCAATGTTTTTAGGTATAGGTCCGGAAAACAAATTGTCATGAAGATATAACATCTTTGCATTAGTGGACCACAATGGGATTGGACCTTCAAACAAATTCGAACTCAAATCAATGGAGGATAGATTTTGAGATGCCAGTGTCCTTGGTAACCTTCCCTTGATCTTGTTATTGGATAGATCCAATTGCTTAATCTGAGTGGAGAACCAAGGCTCTGGTATGGTGTCAGAAATTCCAGCATTCCTCAAAAGAACATAAGTAAGTTCACTTTGAGACTTGAGCCATGCAGGAAACTTGCTTAACAAACAGTTTTCAATGTGAATCTCTTTGAGCATGAATGGTGGAACCCAGTCATTACTTACATTAAAAGCTAGAGAACTCAGGGAAACTACTGTAAGCATGATATTTTCTAGCCTTGTAAGATTGATCAAGTGGGCTTCAGTAAAAACACCACTCCACGAATTATATGCAGGATCAAGGTCCAACGGAGAAACAAGATCTACAGGAGAGTTAAGTCTCACCTCAACTAGTGCTAAGAGTTGGCCAAAACTTTCAGGAATTGTCCCGTTCATGATATTGTCAGAGAGATCCAGCATCCTCAACGATGACAAGTTCCCTATGGATTTTGGAATAGAACCTGAAAAAGAGTTTGAGGAGAGATCAAGATGTTGCAAGTGTTTGAGTGTTGCTAATGAATTTGGTAAAGATCCTGTCAGGTTGTTGTTGAAGACATCAAGATATTGCAGATTCTTGAGTTCACCTAAGGAATCTGGCAAAGATCCTACAAATTTGTTGTATGACAACTGTAGCCACATTAAGCTGGTATTCCAACAGCTGTGAAAATCACCCAACAAATATTTGATCTCGCCATGAAAATTGTTGTATGAAAGGTCCAGAATTTGTAAGTTACAGGGGTTCCCTAGTTGTTTGTGAATAAGACCAACACCATTGAATGCATTCAAATGCATATCAAGATGTTGAAGCTTGGTAAGGTTGTATAACCAATTTGGCAAGGTAGAGTTGAATTTATTGGCTGACATGTCGATTGTCGAAAGAGAAGTAAAGTTGAGGAAAGGAAGTGTAAGAGGAAGGTGAGAAAGTTGACAACCAGACAAATTCAACTCCAACAAAGAAGGAATTTTATTGATTGCTTGAATCCAACGTTCTCCCGTGGCACTGAGATTCACCCCTCCAAGATTTAGGTGTCTCAAAGAAGAGAGACCTGCCAGCCAATGCAGATCTATGACATGTATATCTTCCAAATATTGTGAAACATCAAGATACTGCAAGCTTGACAAGTTTCCAAGAGATGGTGGAATCTGTCCACCAAAGGATGCAGAGGAGAGATTAAGAAACTCCAAATTATGAAGCAAGCCAAAGAAGTTGGGGATCTGAATCCCTCCAAAATCATTATGACTCATATCCAAGTAACCGAGATGCTTCAAGTATTGAAGAGAAGGAGCTATGGTGCCACGTAAAGCATGTTTTTGGAGGACTAAAGAGTCATCACTTTCTGCATATGGATTTCTAAGGTTGAGGATGATGACATGACCAGTTTGGTTGTCACAACCAACGCCTGCCCATTTGCAGCAGTCTTGCCCTATCCAAGAAGAAAGCCTACTAGTGGGATCAGTAAGACCTTCCTTGAATGCAAGAAGCGCTTCTCTTTCTGTGCTCCAGCATTTGCCTTCCACCAAATCAAGTCCAATGCTATTTAGGCATGACCACAAGAAAAGAAGTAGAAAGCCAACAAAGCTGTGCTTATGATGACCCATTTATGTAGCAGTTGTTTTGGTTGAAGGAATCATCTAAACTGATCATTATAAACAAGCAAAGATGCCCTCTCTAAGAAGACTTAGGGGTGCGTTTGGAATTGTTGTGAATTACTGTGGTTGTGCTGAGATGTGATTGTACTGTGCCGTACTTGTGGTTAAAAGTTATTTTGATGTTTAGTTATTTATTTTTTAAAAGTATTATAAATGAAATATGATAAATTTTATTAATTATTAATTAAAATTTAAAAAATATTGTAA